GTTACACTCCCTTTGAAGACGCAGCTTCTCAGCTTGGGAATTATCCTGGACTCATTGCTGGGCCTGGAACCCCAAGTTCGGCAGTGGCAAAGGGAGCTTTCATACAATTAAAATTTGTGTGACAGTAGCACTCATAACTTGAGAAGTCAGAATTGGCCATGGTGGTCCATGCTCTTGTTACATCAAGAATAGACTACTGCAATATGCACTTTGTGGGGTTGCCTTTGAAGACTGTTTGGAAGTTTCATGTAGTCCAGTGAACCGCAGCCAGATTTCTCACTGGAGCGGGATACAGGGACCACACAACCTCCCTGCTGTGCCAGCTCCACTGGTTGCCAGTCTGCTTCCGAGCACAATTCAAAGTGCTGGCTTTAGCCTATAGAGCCCTAAACAGTTCTGGTCCAGCTTACCTGTCCGAACACATCTCCCTCTATGAACCACCTCGGAGATTATGATATTCTGGGGAGGCCCTGTTCTTGGTCCCATCTCCTTCGCAAGTGCAGTTGATGGGGATGAGAGACAGGGCCTTCTCATGTGGAACTCCCTCCCCAGTGAAATTAGATTGTCCCCTCCCTCCTGACCTTCAGGAAAAAAACTAAAAACATGGTTATGGGACCAGGCGCTTAGACAGCAATCCTTTAGTGCTACAAGTAAATACAGATTAGTGCAATGATGACTGGAACGGCCTTGGATTACGAATTTGGACTGCATGGTTTTTAATAATTGGTTTAATGTTTATCTGTATTTTTAATTTATTGTTTTAATGTATACATTTATTTTATTATATGTATGTTTTACGGCATCAAATTGTTGCTGGCCTGTGAGACCGCTCTAAGTTCTCTTCAGGATGAGAAGGAGGGTATACAAATGAAGTAAATAAATAAATGGGGAAACAAATATGCAGATCTGATAATAGCCCATAGTGCTGGGTAATATATACACATATCCATGTGTGTGTGTGTGTAGGAACACATATATAGAGACAATACAAGCATGCACATACACACACTTACATGAGTTTGTGTGTGTATGTGCATGCTTGTACATACACACACATGAAAGTAAAAAAGAGGATGATAGATGTGGCAGTTGGAGTACAGTGGCTATTGCAAGTGAAACACAAGAGTTTGTCTGAATGCTGCATACAATTCCATGGATGCAGCAGGGCAATTGCCAAGTAGAAATCTCATCTTAATTAATAGTTTCCCCCTTTTTAACCCAAGATCTTAGGATTAATGAACTAAACCTTTCTAAAATGGCCCATGACACCTAGACCCAGAAAAATTTAGTATTTTATTTAGAATGCTTCAGTGCTGTCCTTCAGTTTTTGGACACTTCAGTGCTGCTCCTTTCATCTTAAGTAGTCTAATGAGTTTGTAAAATACGTTTTTGCAATAATTCATGAGTTGTAATATTCAGATCTTTCTCAATACCCCATATTGAAGCAGAATTAATATGTGTTCGTAAGGAACTTTGAAATAGAACAGAAAGGGATAGTGGATACTTTGTGCAAGATTTTGCATTTTTTAAAAAGACGATAGCCTAACTGTGCTCTGATATTCTTGCCAAGGAAAAAGAACAGTAAAATAATTCGTTTGCTGCTTCTTCACATGGTGCCTATTATCCCTCAGAGAGATTGGGAAGGGGCTGGCTGGAATTAGCAAAAAGCTGTAATTTAAAACCATGTAATGTGATCATTTATGGAAGGGAGTAGCTCAGGGAAACCTTTGTATCCCAGCCAATTCCGTATGTTCTTTTTTAGATACAGAAAACTTGGCGGTCTTTACAAGATCAACAGGCAGTTTGTCTGATTCACTTCTTCAAAATGTACCATGGTTTTGAGCTTAACAATGAGGAAGGAAGGACTGGGGGAGGCAAGAGAGGAGCTGTGTCTTCATGCTTTATTTAAGAACAGGCTATATGAAGCATAGAAACTATGCATAGGATCCAGGGTCTTCTCCCCCCACTCCTTTTGTAAAAACAAAGACTGAAAAATATTGCAACGCAGTGCAGAAAGTGATTTATTCCCCTGCTGATAACTGAGATCATCCAGCATTCCAGACAGGCACAGCTAATGGATGACTTAACCCTCACCCAGCGGCTGATTACAGGTCCTCAGGAGACAGCAGGCAGCTTTGTCTCTGCAGAAAGCACAGGGTTGTTGCTCTTCCTTTTTAGTGTTGTTGTAATTATGTTCAAGAGCAGAATGTTAAGGAATAGGTAGAAGCTTTGCAATTAACTTCTACAAATTTCAGGAAGAAAGTAGCCAATGATCAACAGCAATGAAGTCAGTTCCTAGGCTTATCTAGAAGATGTGCATATATCATGTTTATTCTGTGTTGCCTTTGCAAAATCAACCACATGTATGGAGAAAGGTCAAATTCCTCTCTCCCTTATTTCCTAATGTGAAATTGTGTCCTATGGAAAGGAATAAGAACAGGCAATGGATTTTCCATGAGCTTGTTCTGAGTAAAAGCTGCCAAAATTGTAATAGATTAAATATATAGTACAAGGTTGATCATAATAAATTATGGCAAGATCTTGGTGGTATGAGGATACCAAGTCACCTTGTTTGTCTCCTGAGGAATTTGTATAATGACCAAGTAGCAGTAGTAAGAACTGACCACGAAACAACAGACTGGTTCAAGATTGGGAAAGGAGTACTGCAGGCTTGTATACTCTCACCCAACCTATTCAACTTGTATGCAGAACACATCATGCAACATGCAGGGCTTGATGAATCCAATTCTGGAGTTAAAATTGCTGGAAGAAACATTAACAACCTTAGATATGCAGATGATACCACTTTTATGGTTGAAAGCAAGGAGGAACTTAAGAGCCTTATAACCAAAGTGAAAGAAGAATATGCAAAAGCTGAGCTGCAGTTAAACATTAAAAAAAAATCAAGATTATGGCAACCAGACCGATTGATGACGGGCAAATAGAGGGAGAAAAAGTGGAGGCAGTGACAGACTTTGTATTTCTAGGCTCAAAGATTACTACAGATGCAGACTGCAGCCAGGAAATCAGAAGACACCTACTTCTTGGGAGGAGAGCAATGACCAATCTCGATAAAACAGTGAAGAGTAGAGACATCACACTGGCAATGAAGATCCGCATAATTAAAGGCATTCCCCTTAACAACCTATGAATGCGAGAGCTGGACCATAAGGAAAGCTGAGCGAAGGAAGTTAGACACTTTTGAACTGTGGTGTTGGAGGAAAATTTTGAGAGTGCCTTGGAACACAAGAAGGTCCAACCAGTCCATACTTCAAGAAATAAAGCCCGACTGCTCATTGAAGGGAAGGATATTAGAGGCAAAGATGAACTACTATGGCCACATAATGAGGAGACAGGAAAGCTTGGGGAAGACAATGATGCTAGGGAAAATGGAAGGAAAAAGGAAGAGGGGCCGACCAAGGGCAAGATGGATGGATGGGATCCTTGAAGTGACTGGTTTGACCTTGAAGGAGCTGGGGGTGGTGACAGCCAACAGGGAGCTCTGGCGTGACAGCCAACAGGGAGCTCAGGAGGTCATGAAGAGTCAGAAGCAAATAAACTGCGCCACTTGAGAGTGCAGATACGGTGCCCTTTTGAAGTGTCCTCCCTGTAGCTGATGTTTATTGTTTAATGCTGACCTGCAAGTGCAGCACTGACAACCACCATAAGGTAGAGTGTAGCCAAGTCACTCTAATTTTCTATATACAAGGCAAGTGTGTGTGTGTTGGAACATGAATAAGAATTAAAAATGCGATTCCCTATCCATGGTCCGAAATGGTACTATCTGTTTTAATATATCTCTAGGTTGTGTGTGTAGACCAGGTATGGGCAAACTTCAGCCTTCCAGGTGTTTTGGATTTCAGCTCTCACAGTTCCTAGCAGCCAGTAGGAAGAGAGTAGACTGTTACAAATTGTGGGAGTTGAAGTTCAAAACACCTGGAGGGCCAAAGTTTGCCCATACCTGAAGTAGACTTTGTTGCGTTTCAGAATGTAGGGAGGGGTGTGCAGTAGTAAACTGCTGGTTCCATCTTCTGTAGGTGATGTATGGAGCTGCTACCTTTTTGGCCATCAAGCCCAATACAGCATTATTTACCCGTACTGGCAGCAGCTCTCCAAAGTCTGAGCAGGGTGAAGGGTATCCCATCATTTTTTAAGGACATATAAACAGTTCGGGACATCTTTATTCACAAATGTCATACTCTGGTACTCCATTTAGAAATTGATCTTATACTAGATGCTTTTGTTGTTTGTTGTTGTGTGCCTTCAAGTCTATTCCAACATAATGCAACCTTAAACTGAATCTTTTCAAGATTTGTTGAGAGGAAGTTTGCTTTGACCAACTTCTGAGGTTAAGAAACTGACTTGCTCAAGATCATGCTGTGGGTTTCCATAGCTGAGTAGTGGTTTGAACCCTGGTTTCCAGAGCTGTAGTCCACTATACTGCATTCTGAAACTGCATTATATGGCAGTGAAGATGAGGTCTGGATCTACCGGATGCTTAATGCACCACAGTTTGGACAGTGTCATAGTGCACGTTTTACTCAGTAACAAATAGGTAAAGGTTTCTCCTGACATTAAGTCTAGTCGTGTCCATCTCTGGGGGGTGGTGCTCATCTCCACTTCTAAGCCAAAAAGTTGGCATTGTTCGTAGACACCTCCAAGGTTATGTGGCCAGCATGACTTCATGGAGTGCCGTTACCTTCCCGCAGAAGTGGCAACTCTTGATCTACTCACATTTACATGTTTTCAAACTATAAGGTTGGCAGAAGCTGGAACTAACAGCAGGAGCTCACCCTGCTCCCCGGATTCAAACTGCCTACCTTTCGGTCAACAAGTTCAGCAGCTGCGCCACCAGGAGGAGGGTGGGGGCTCAGTAACAAATGGGTCTTTCTTAATTTCTGCTTTTGCATTTCAAAAATTGTGCTTGGTTTTTTGCTACTGTTTTTATACATCAACTGTTTAAACATACAATTTCTCACATTTGTTCCTCCTCTTTTAAGTACAACTAGTTCTACAGCAAGCAGTTGTGATACAGAATTCACAAAGGAGGATGAACAGAGGCTGAAGGACTACATTCAGCAGCTGAAAAACGACAGGGCAGCTGTGAAGCTGACGATGTTGGAGCTGGAGAGCATCCATATTGATCCCCTCAGTTATGATGTCAAGCCTCGCGGAGACAGTCAAAGGCTGGATCTAGAAAATGCTGTACTCATGCAGGAGCTTATGGCAATGAAGGTAAAAAGGATAAATTTCAATCTGTTTAGGGGTTTGGGTTTTTTTGTGTTTAAGCACATGTGTGGATATTATTTTCCAATTACAATAAAGTGGCCGTTAAGGGAATATCATTTACCAGTTATGCAGACATGTCTTGTTGCAAACTGTAGCATGCTCCTCTGTGCCAACAGGAGGAAATGGCAGAACTGAAGGCGCAGCTGTACTTGTTGGAAAAAGAGAAAAAAGCCCTGGAGCTGAAGTTGAGCAGCCGGGAAGCTCAGGAGCAGGCCTATCTTGTCCACATTGAGCACCTGAAGTCGGAAGTTGAAGAGCAAAAGGAGCAGAGGATGCGATCTCTCAGCTCAGCTAGTAGCAGCAGTAAAGAGAAGTCAAGTAAGGTGAGGTGCTGTCATAGATCTTCACACGATGATTTATTCAGAAGGAGCTGCCGGTAAATAAACCCCAGACTTAGTGGCATCTGGTTGGATGCCATGTGGAAAAAAGACACCAGTTGAAAAGCTAGAATCCTTCATATTGCACAATCACCTATTCCAAGCTCTAGAGCAGGCACGGGCAAACTTTGGCCCTCCAGGTGTTTTGGACTTCAATTCCCACAATTCCTAACAGCCTACCGGCTGTTAGGAATTGTGGGAGTTGAAGTCCAAAACACCTGGAGGGCCAAAGTTTGCCCATGCCTGCTCTAGAATAATTGGAGTCCAGCAAAATCATTCCCATTAGGATGACCCTCCTGGGCTTTCCCTAATTAATCCTTATGTCCTATTTGATTACCATATCTGTTTCATTCTAACCGTTCAGCTATTATTGTCTGTCTACTTCATTCAAGCTTTACTGAAGGTTGGGGTATTGACAGAAGATTTCTTGAACTCAGAAATATTTATTTATTTACCACATTTATATATCACCCCTCTCAGCCCAGAGGCGACTTGGAGCGGTTCACAATTGGCAACAATTTGATGCCTCAACAATAATAACAAATAAAACAATAAAAAATACTGTTAAAACATTAGCATACAATATAAGAATATTAAAAAACCGCACAAAGCCTTAAAAACATTACCGTGAGCGTCTCCATGTCAAGTCATTATTCAATTACGTTGTCAAGTGGTTCCAGGATTTCATATAACTATGCCGTATTTGGGAAGGCCTGCTCAAAAAGCCAGGTTTTCACCTTTCTTCAAAAAGTCAGGAGGGAGAGGGCCGATCTTATATCCCTAGGCAGGGAGTTCCACAGAAATAAACGGCTTTGTTGGAAGTTATGTGATCGTTGGGTTGTTGTAGGTTTTTTCGGGCTATATGGCCATGTTCTAGAGGCATTCTCTCCTGACGTTTCACCTGCATCTATGGCAAGCATCCTCAGAGTCATCGTTTTTTGAAAAGGGAGAGGGGAATTCCAAAATTGTGATTCTTTTGTGCCCACTAGCCATGGGTATCTTCTGTGAAAGGAAATATAGCCAAAAAATTAATAATAATAAGTAAAATAAGGAAGACCATAGACCTTGTCTCTTACAGCTCAATGCCCTCATTGGGTAGATTTGCTGGGAAATTCCCACATCCTTACAGATGACTGGATATCTCTGTGGAAACTCTGAACTCCTACCTGAAGCCTCAGGGAAACACCTGGCACAAGTATGTCACCTGACAAGCCAGGGAGCAAAAAGAGTTGCTGTGTATCACAAAAATATACCCATATTGTGTGGCAGTTTGAGCCTGCCTTAAGCTATAGAGAACTTGGAAGTAAAGCATGAATGTTCTTGCTTGTATCAAACACTAAATAATGTGCGCAGGTCTAATCATGTGGTTCTAGCAGCCCTTAGAGTGACAAATGAAAATAAATTAGAAGTCCTAGAAGTTTCCTAGGAATGGAGAGAAAGTACCAAAAATGTAGTCTTGTCACTGATTTCTGTCTGCTGGTGCAGTAATAAGTCAAATACTAAATGTCGCCAAGCTGTCATATTTTATGTATTTGCCTTTGGTGCCAGGAAGCCTCCATGAAAAAAAGTCCTTAAATATGTTGTTGAAGGCTTTCATGGCCGGAATCACTGGGTTGCTGTGAGTTTTCCTGGCTGTATGGCCATGTTCCAGAAGCATTCTCTCTTAAGAGAGAATGCTTCTGGAACATGGTCATACAGCCCGGAAAACACACAGCAACCCAGTCCTTAAATAGTTTTTTAAAATTATATTTCACATTCAAAGCCATTGTGGTAGTAATAATGTAGTTGGGATATAATCCAAGGATTTTATCAACAGGAGAGGTCACTGAGGCCTGCCAAAATACCACTATTGTTATTAGTTTACCCCCAAAGAACTGAGGCTTATGCTACTGGTTAATATGAAAGTCATACTTGAAGGGGTGCAGACATTTCCCTCAACCCCCTTCTCCCATGCCTGCCTTTGATTTGCTGGATCTCCCAATCGTTGCATCTTATCTGTTGCCACTTCTGAGACTTGAAATTCTCAACCTATGACAAAGGGTTGCTTCCTGTATTTGCTAAAGTGGATGCATCTGTCAAGATTGTACCATCTTGCCCCAAAGCAGTTCTGCTAGTTAAAGCAAGAAAGCATCTTTTCAAGGCATGTCCTCCATCCTGATTCAAAGCTTGGTAGTCATAATATCAGGGAGGGAGAGCTGCATGGAAAGTGTGTTGTAAGCGGTGTCTACCCTCTTGTAAGGCCGAACAAGGTATAGGGTTACAGCCTGTGTTGGATGAGGTTTCACTCCCTCTGAAGATGTAGGTTTGTAGCTTCGGAGTGATCCTAGATTCATCATTGAGCCTGGAGCCCCAGGTCTTGGTGGTGGCCAGGGGAGCTTTTGCACAATTAAAAACTTGTCCACCAGTTGCACCCATACCTTGGGAAGTCAACTTGGCCATGGTGGTCCACTCTCTTGTTACATCAAGGATAGATTACTGCATTGTGCTCTATGCGGGGTTGCCTTTGAAGACTGTTCAGAAGCTTCAAATGGTCCAATGGGCAACAGCCAGATTTCTCACTGGGGCAGCGTACAGGGAGAACACAATCTCCCAATTATGTCAGCTCCCCTGTTTGCCAGTCTGCTACTGAGCACAATTCAAACTGCTGGCTTTAGCCTATAAAGGCCTAAAAGATTCCGGCCCAGCTTACCTGTCCAAACATATCTCCCTCAATGGTCCACCTTGGAGATTAAGATCATCTGAGGAGGCTCTGCTCTTGGTCCCACCACCTTCGCAAGTGTGACTGGTGGGGATGAAAGACAGAGCCTTTTCAGTTATGGCCCCTTGGCTATGGAATTGCCTGCATCGTGAAATTAGATCAGCCTCCTCCTTCTGATCTTCAGGAAGTAAGTAAAAACATGGTTATGTGACCAAGTTTTTAGATCGCAAGACTTTTAGTGCAACAAGAGAATAAGGAACAGTGAACAGACCAATGGAACGGTTTCGGATTATGTTTCTGGTTGGTGTGATTTTAATAACTGGTTTTAAATTGCATTGTTTTAATGTTTGGTTTTAATGTAAATGTTTATTGTATTGCATATTTATATTTGGGCATCAATTGCTGCCTAATTTGTAACACAATTCTGAATTCCCTTCTGGGAAGAGAAGGGTGGGAAATAAAATGAAGTAAATAAATAAATAAGATGGAGAAGGGGAGAATAACTGAGAAATCAAGAGAGAGAAGTAGAAGAGAAGAAGGAAGGGAGGGAGGTGTGTTTACAAGGTGTATAAACAATATTATATTTATATGTAAGTCAAAAGAGAAGTCGTATAGTAGAGAAGGGGATTTGCCTGGAAATTACTAGGAACAGACAACAGCAGAAATTGTTATTTTTTCAAAAATTCATCTGAAAGTTTGAGGATCCCAACTTGCCTTGTTTAATTTTCCAGGAGTGCACAGATGGCACTACAGCCTCATTAACACTTGCTGAGTTGAAACCCTACAGTGAAAGTGAACTCACTACAGAATTGGCAAATGCACTTCGACGGTAAGCACAGTATTTTCCTCCATGATTTAATTCTGGACTTTGAATCAGTCAAATGCACACAGTTTTTGCATATCTGGGGTCTTCAAATCGTTCCTTTTCTCTTGTACTTTTCTTCAGCCCTCATCAGCCTAGGCACTCGTCCTCAAACATCTATAGACTGGGAACTTAATTACTATTGCTAATTCCCGTATCACACATGAAAGCCCCAAGGCACAATGTAGCTGAGTCAGTTAATGAAAAACCACCAGGGAAACACTTGACAAATCTGGGGATAGCATTCCAATATCATCTCAGCAAGATTAATTCCCCGCAAGAATAGGCTTCCCAGTTTTATATAATACGTACTCTTCAGGACTGACAGCACTGTTTCCTAAATAGTGGATAATATGAGTTTTTAGATTCTTTAAAAAATAAAACCCACAAGCTTAAACATCAAGTTGCAAAAGAGACACTAATTAATAATATATGGGAAGAGGCATCAAAAGCAGGAAACGAGACTTAAAAGAAATGCTACCAATTGCTAGTTGCACATTTCATGTCACACACAAGTTTGGGAGCATAAATTACATTTACATGTTAAATTACATTTAAAAGTAGTATATTTGACAGCAGACATCCAAGTTTCAAAGGATTTGATCATGAAATCATTGAGCTAGTAACTAAAATACAAAACTTAATGCTAAAATTAGTCTGCCTTGGGCCTTAATCTAACCTGACATCATTCAGGAAATTACAACCTGCCAGCCAAAACTTCTTTCGCAGGAAAATTGGAGGAAACTGTTGTTAGATTAAGGTTAGACATTAAATATAGTGTTTTTTGTTTGTTTTTTTGTCATGTCAGGAGCAACTGCTCCTGTTGTGAGAGAATTGGCCGTCTGCAAGGACGTTGCCCAGGGGACGCCCGGATGATTTCTGATGTTTTATCATCCTTGTGGGAGGCTTCTCTCATGTCCCCGCATGAGGAGCTGTGAAGATGGGGGAAAACAGAGTAAGGGGCTTCAGGGAGTACACTGCCATAATGCAAGGTGAGTTTCACTCAGAATAGTATACTAACAAGTAAATATGTGAGGGCAAGTCATAGGGAGGAGGGAGCAGGCTTGTTTTCTGCTGACCTGGAGACTAGGACACGGAACAGTGGCTTCAAACTACGGGAAAGGAGATTCCACCTGAACATGAGGAAGAACTTCCTAATAGTAAGAGCGGTTCAGCAGTGGAACTCTGCCCTGGAGTGTGGTGGAGGCCCCTTCTTTGGAGGGTTTCAAACAGAGTATGGATGGCCATAAACCACTTTGAGTTTCTCTAGGGGTGAAAAAAACAGTATATAAATACTGTAAATAAATAAAATCTGTCAGGGGTGCTTTGAAGGCGATTTTCTTGGCAGGGGGTTGGACTGGATGGCCCATGAGGTCTCTTCCAACTAATTCTAATCTCTGATACAAACCCATTCTACTCTACATTCACTAATGAAGGCCTGTACCGCTGGCGGCCTTGCAGGTGTTTTGGACTTCAGCTCCCAGAATCCCTGACCATTCGACAAGCTGACTAGGGCTTCTGGAAGTTGGAGTTCCAAACACCTGGAGGACTACAGGTTGTGCAGGCCTGCAGGACCCCCTCTTGATAATATAAGTTAAACGACTAACCCATGGATGTATGTCTGAAACCTACGACCTCAGACACCCAGGAAGAACTAGGTAGTGAGTAGGTTTGGGGAGCCTGAACCAACATTGGGTTTGTTCATTAGACAGTTGAGCATGAAGATTCATGAACATGAAGGTGGGCTTCCAGTTCTGTCCGTTGTCTTAAAATGTGTTGAGACAAATAAATGTAGCCATATCTTCGGGTTTTGACTCAGTGTGTTTGGAGACCATGTACATCAGGCATGGGCAAACTTGGGCCCTCCAGGTGGTTTGGACTTCAACTCCCACCATTCCTAACATCCTCAGGCCCTTTCCTTTTACCCCCTCAGGGAGTTGAAGTCCAAAACACACGGAGGGCCCAAGTTTGCCCATGCCTGTCATACATCATAGATAGAATTTTAGTCTCTCTCAGGAAGTTTTTTTTTTTACTTTTGAAATGTTGTGGACGTGTATAGCATTTGTTATAGACACAAAGAACTGTATGTTTTCCCTAGTAACCAATTTGAGACAGCAACTTTTAATCTATTTTTAATGTTTCCCTCATGACTCTGCTAAATTAAATGCATGGGACGTTAGCATGTCCTGAACACAATGTAACAACATTTGAAAAAAAAAATCCTGTTCCTGGTTTGAAAGTTCCTGTTTAATTATGCGGTTCTTATTTTGAAAATAGTTGTTATACTCCAGAAACTGTTTTTGTGGCTGCCACAAACTGTTAAATTGGTTGAGACTCTATGAGCGATTCATAGAAAAATTATAGCAAAATGTGCTGCAGGATGCCTCACAACAGTTTTTGCAACTTAATAAACATTTTCCATGTTTTTATGATAGAACCAATTAGGAAATGATATTTGTAACCCAGGAACAAAATCATGTTACATAGTGTAATATATGCTTAAGTAAATTTAAAGGACAGTTACGGAGATCAGGGGGGAAAGATAGGGTTCACAGAGAACTTGGGGGTGTGCTGTCGCTCAGTCTTCCATGCCAAGGAGCTTTGTTGTCCTTAGATGTCCTCCTGATCGAATCACCAGCCATGTCCTTATGGGCAATCTTTTATTACCTCCCTGCTTACAGCAGTACCTGTTTATCTACTTACATTTCTGTTTTCGGTCTGCTAGGTGGGCAGGGAGCTGGGGCTGATGGCGGGTGCTCACCCTGACCTGGGCTTGAACTGCCAACCTTTCAATCGGCAGGATTTTCTGCAGCTTAGTGATTTAACCCGCAGTGCTAATCCAGTATATATGGATACTCTTTGGACAGTTTGTCTACTGATCCCAGCTTCAAAAATACCAAACTGGATTGCAGTTATCATTCTTAAGAAACTGTAGATGTAGCAGGAATTCCATCTTGTTCTCAACTCAATTGATGCCTTAATTAAGCCCGTGTTATCAGTATTACTTATATGCACTTCTTGCTTTTATAGCTTATGGTTGCTCTTACAGAACATTTCATTTGATCAGTGCAGTCAGACTGAACAAAGACATAGTTTGTGTCTGAATGGCTACTTCATGAAATACCATCTGCAAAACTTTTTCTTCTGCTTAATATTGCCCATCTATGATATTAGGATTTTGTTCATTTTATTCTGTGTGTAGCATTTGGATTTATTTCTTATTAGGATAGTGCTTCTACCTAATGAAGATGGAATAGAGAGACAAGAAAGGAAGTTTTGTGACAGAAAAAAAAGAAAGAAAAAGACATAGTTGCCCAGTTATGTTAGGAATTGATTGGTGTGGATTTTTTTATAAAAGGGGTAGAAAAGCTTAGAGAGAAGATTTAATAATGTTATATTTTTAAATACAACTCCTAGAACTCTTCAGCTAGCATGGCTATGCTTGTCATGGGTTTCTGAAAGTTGCAATCCCAAGCTCTCCAAAAAAGTTGAATGTTCTGAAGTCACATCTGTGTAGGAAGTTCCATCTTATGTGAAGCTACTAAAAGAAAGATCTTATGAAGTAATTCCATCTATATTCAGTACTTGCTGCTTGTTTATGATAAAATCACTAAAGCAAGATTTAGCTGTAAACAGCAGCAAAAGGGGCATAAATATGTAGGTTACTGCATCCTTCTCTTTTCTATCTGCCAAGAGCCTGGCTTAGAAAAGCTTGGTACCAGGAAGTGTATTGAAAGAAAAATAGACCAAGGGCAGAGGAGTGAATGCCCATTTGGTCCTAATATTGTAACAGCCCCAGTACCCTGAAGATGGCTGCTCAAGTATGCTGATGACCTTCAGGGTACCAGCCCCAGTTCTCTAAAGATAGTTCAAGCCCTGTCTATCTTCATGATGACATCTCCCTCTATGAACGGATGCGAGCTCTAAGATCTGCCAGAGGGCCCCCCTCTCACTTCCGCCTCTGTGGGGATGAGGGAGAGGGCCTTCTCAGTGGTGGCCCCCTGACTTTAGAACAACCTCCCCAGGGAGGTTAGGCAAGCCCCCACACAGGGAGGTTAGGCAACCCCCAGGGAGGTTAGGCAAGCCCCCAGGGATCTGAAAACCTGGATGTTCCAGCAAGTTTTCGGGAATGATTAGTGCCTAGGGGCTAGGCCCAGTCCCCAGGTTGTCAGACAGTCCTCTGCTCTGCACTTCATCCACTTCCCCAGCCCTATGATACGCTGTTTGCACTATTCCTCACCCAACCTTTTTTAATTGATTAGGTCCATTTTTAGCACTCCTGGCCATTGCTGTTGTTGAACCTTGCCTGATGGAGCTCCGATGTAGTCGGTTTTATATTTTATTTTTTAGTGTGTTTTATCAGGTCTTTAATATTTTATTATGTTTTTACTTTATTTTGTTTTTGTTTTTATTTTTCGCTACTTAGATTATTAAGTTATAATTATATGTTGTTTTCTATTGTCTAATGTGTTTTGTCCTGATGTAAACTGTTTGTTTGGCTTTTCTTTGGGCATTGAATGTTTGCCGTATTTGTTGGAAACTGTTCTGAGACCCTTCAGGGAGATAGGTGGTCTATAAATAATGATGATGATGATGATGATGATGATGATGATGATGATGATATTATTATTATTTCCCACTTTGTAATTTAACTTTGGCTTCCTCATATTTTAGCAGAAATATGTGTCATCATTCTTTGAGTTGCACTTCGTTGCTGTTTTGTGAAGGGACTTGCATTCTTAAAGCTCAGATTGTAATGTTGGAATATTTTTTCATATGGTAGGAGATATACCTTAACCAGCTACAGAATTGACAAAATAGTGGAAATTAGCCATGTGCGCGAAATTCGTTCCTACCGTTTCTTTTGTGTCTTTCGTGTCTTCCGTTTATTCGGAAGCATGAAACAGGAAGCCCCCTCCACACATGGAAATCTGCTCAATACGAAAGCCTGCTTTCATGTCGAGCCA